CCCGGCACTTGGCCTTATTAAACCTCAAACAAATTGCAGCAGTTTCACATACCAATTTTCCATTGTATTCTGATTATTTTCCTTTGGTCGGTTTGAAAGGTGCTGACCACTGATTCTCTCTGGGTTTGTGTTATGAAGGAAGTCAAACATGGGTTCCAATTTGTTTCTGCTTGACACTCTCAAAAGTAATTGCTTAGGAGAGGACACAAGGTATTTTGCCTCCTCTTATCTCACGCTTCATATAGCATAGGGAGAGTAGGCACAAAGCGCCTATATGTTAGGAAGGGACAGCCCTTTTGTGGATGAGAGAATGTTTTCCCCACATAAGAAATGCAACCATAGGTTTTCACTGTGTTTCATCACAGCTCCACCCTTGCCATACCTTTGAAAATATCTGCTGGAGAGATGTGAACTGGTATTTTTCCTTTCAAAGGATTATGTCACAAAGATTAGCCCTTGGTTTATGAAACACTTTGATATTTGTTCTTCTCAGTTACACAGTTTTGTTTAAAACAGAATGCTGGCTGTAGTAACTTCACTGAAATTTTGTACCATACCACCTGTTTAGTGGGTGGATGTGTATACGGAGGCTGGTGTGTTTAGGGCTTTTTTTTTTTTTTTTAAGAGCTGTAGCTTTAGGAACCAGTGAATGTTTACGTCTTGATATAGGTCATAATAAATCTATAGTGAGAGCATGTTCCTATGAAAGCTGAAGAAGTCTGTCCTTGTCTCTGTCAAGGTTTCCAGTTTAAGTGTAGTAAGATCTCTGCTTTCCGGAAAACATGAAACTACTTAAGGAAATGTGTGCTTCCTTCCCTTTACTTCACAGGTTATTGGAGGACTTGGTTCAAAAGGAGAGAGAATTTCAAGTCCTCTTACATCAAGCTATAGAAGAAAAAGATCAAGAGATCAGAAACCTACGGCTTAGGTCACAGCCAATAGGTGAGACGAGTTTTCAGAGAAAAGTTTTGTACTGGCTACAGATGAAGACCATGGCAGCTAAACTGATGTTATTTTTCACTAATCCAGTCTCAGCAAAGATACTGTATTATGCTGCTTCTGGTAGGGTTTGCTTTGAAGTAAGAATGTATGTTGTGGAAACAAATTACTGAATTTGTTATTACTGAATTTGTTAATCACAGTACAAGGTATAGTATGATTTAAATGGTTTTGATTGTGATTACATGGAAGAGTACAAGGCTCCTATCCTACAGAATAAACATTGTTTCTAAAGAGGATAATCTAGCATTTTTAGGTATCTGCTTTTTGAATTACAGATTGTTCCAATTGTTACATTGAAAGTTCACGAGGATCTAATCAGTGAGATGTAAATACAACAAAGCTTGCCGAGGGAAGCTGAGTTTGATATGTATCTGTCCTGAAGAAGGTGGAAGTGCTAATGCAGTTTGATGTTTTGGTGTAACGTCCTTCAAAATAGTGCTGCTTTCCAAAAGCAGCTGATCCTCAGTCTAAGGTGTTGCCTACGCATCAATTGTATGTGTTACACTGAACAGTTCAGTTCAATTGATGCGACAACCTTAGTGTAGAAACAGTTACAGTGAAATTGATGTGCTTTGTATTAGTAAAGTAATTTTCCAAAGAAGACAGAAAATGTATCAATGTTCATACTACTTTAACTGTACCCCTAACCAAGTAGAATAATTGGTGTGTAACCGTCTATAAACTGTGATTAAGTGAGTGCTTTGGGAATCGGCATTTATTTATGGGGATAGTGGTCTTCTAAGCTTGAAGGGAAAGCTCACTGAAGAAAGTGCTTCAGCAGTCAAAAATGACAGAAGGTTGCTTTGGCAACACAAAACCTTTTCTCAAAAATGCTTGTTCTAGATATTCCTGGATTGTCTGTCTGTCATCGTCATTCCACTGGCGCAGGGACCGAAGACCCTGATCTCATAAACTGGCTGAGCGTTCAAGGAGCTGATGAGGCCACGATAAACAAGGTAGCAATGATTCCGTTCCCTCTCTGACACAATTGCAGTACTGTTTTGTACCTGGATGCAAGAAGATACCAAACCTCTTTAATTACTTGAGCACATTTTGAGAGGTGAATTTGTTTTCAGAGGATGGGAAAAAGCCATGAATATGAAAGCCTTCATAAAAATACAGTATTGTTAATAATTCCTATATCTGCTTAGGAGTAAGGCAATAAAATGTACAGGTAAATAGACAGTACTGCTTTGGTTCATAATTTTTTCAGCATCTTCACACATTCACAGAATCATTAAGGTTGGAAAGGACCTTCAAGATCATGAAGTCCAACCGTTAACCCAACACCACCATGTCCCCTAAACCATGTCCTGAAGCACCACATCCACACGTTTTTTGAACACTTCCAGTGATGGTGACTCCACCACCTCCCTGGGCAGCCTGTTCCAATGCTTGACCACTCTCTCAGTGAAGAAATTTTTCCTAATATCCAGTCTAAACCTCCCTTGGCACAGTTTGAGGCCTTTTCCTCTTGTCCTATCACTAGTTACTTGGGAGAAGAGGCCAACACCCACATCGTCACAACCCCCTTTCAGGTAGTTGTAGAGAGTGGTAAGGTCTCCCCTCAGTGTCCTCTTCTCCAGACCTAACAGCCCCAGTTCCCTCAGCTGCTCCTGGTACGACTTATTCTCCAGACCCCTCACCAGCTTCGTTGCCCTTCTCTGGACACGCTCCAACACCTCAATGTCTTTCTTGCAGTGAGGGCCCCAAAACTGAACACGGTATTCGAGGTGCAGCCTCACCAGTGCCGAGTATAGGGGCACGATCACTTCCCTGCTCCTGCTGGCCACACTATTTCTGATACAGGCAATTCATTGCAGCAGGATTCATTGCAGCAGTTCATGCTGTTTATACCCTGAATACAGGGTACATGTTCACCCTTAGCTAACTGTGTTGAAGCGAAATCTCCTAAAGTAGATTGGTCTGCTCTCCAGCAAATTATATCATTTTAGAGGTGTTGAGCATCTCAGAATTTCAGCTGTCTTAGGAAAAGCTGCATGTAGTTATCACTCCTACAGATCAGGTCAAAGGTTCCTCGAAATTCAAGTACTTAAAATTTAGATGCCATTTTTGAAAAGGTGTGTGTTAACTGTTGTTTTTAATTTCCTCATGGGTGAAATGTGGTATTAATTATGCTCTCATTTGTGTTTTTTGAAGTCGGTGACTCTTGGATATCAGATAACAATAGAAATGCCAGTTGACAAAAGTTTTGAGTTGCTGTAAAAGCATTGCACCTTTCAAGCTGTGCCTGGTATGCCAATGTAGAGTATACAGTATAAAATGAAGTAGTTTCACTGTATTCTCAGAACAATGTGGATTAATCTGTTCCATGTACCACATTTTGGCCCAATTTTAGGTTTCTTCTAAACACAAACTTTTATTTTTAAGGGTGGATGGTATATAAACCTTAGAAAGTTAGATTTTATTTCTAACAAAATGTTCCTTTAAACTTTTTTTTAGTTCTTGGCCGAAGACTATACATTAATGGATGTTCTCTGCTGTGTTACACGAGATGATCTGAAATGTTTGAGACTGAGGTAATGCTTCACAGTTAAATGAACTGTGCTGAGCAGGAATATGTTTTGTTACAAGAGAAACTTAACTGATTCTAAGCCTTTATTTATTGGATTGTGCAGTATTAATTTCAAATAAGTAACAGTTTCCGGTCTGTCTTTGTATACTGATGCATTCCTGATAAACAGCTGATACTGTTTAAATGTTAAAATAAGCTTTTCTGTTGAAGGAAAGCAAAGGGAAAATTTTAAAGTAAAGCTTTTACCTTACACCTGAAGACACTGGATACCCCATTAGAGCCTTGCTTTTATTTAAAAGGGTAGAGATAGCAAACCGTTCTGCAGTATCATCTTCATCGGACTTCAGAAACACTACTCATGGACTGCAACTAACACTAGATTTCACCCAGTCATGCCAGGTGTGTGTCACTGCAGAACCAAGTTTAAGTAGCAACACTGGAAGTTATCAACCACTCTGTGTGTGCCCAGTCAGTTTAAAAATAACTAACTACATAAACGTAGGAAAAAAATATGGCACGTATTGAGATTTTTTTCATAATTGACACTTCCATAATGTTTTAAGTCTACTGTGGGTTATGCAGGTCTTTTGGACCAGAAGCCTGAATTCCAGAAAGCAGGCATCTGAAAAGTGGAAAGATTGCCCTGTACTGTAATCAGAAAAGGACTCTGTTCTCTATTTGAGTATTGCGTGTTGAATTTCACCTTTGATCAGCCTTCCCGCTGAATTTCACTGGTCAAAAGCGGAGCAAGAAAAGCAGAAGGTGCCTAAATGGGAATACTTTCAGGCTAAAGAGTATCTTTGTAGCTGAGCATATTTATGATTTTTCTTTACAGAGGAGGAATGCTATGCACGCTCTGGAAGGCCATCACCGACTTTCGAGAGAAGCACACCTGACACTGAAATTTTGCTTGACTTCTCTGCAGAGAGGAAACTATTTCCTTTCAGCACAGAGCAGGTGTGCTGTCAGAAGGACCGTTGCACTTTAATCCAGTATTTGTTTACCGATGTTAAAAACACTGCAGCTTCCTGACTGCTTTTACTCCTATAATCCATAAGGAATCTGTAAACAACCTGCAACATTATTATACTTCAAATGTTTTTACCGGCAAGTTTCTCAAAAATTAAAAAAAAAAAAAAAACCACAACACCCTAAAACTTTATAAACTCATGAAATATTGTAGTTACAGTAACCAGACGTTAATTTCATGAAAAACTGATGTAAGATTTCATGTGACTATACATCACTGGAACAAAACCAAAATGTGACAACAACTTTTCAAGTTTCTTTTTCTTTGTAATGTATCTCAATAATCTGTAGTAGAACTTCATAATTTTAATTGTAATTAAGTATTTTTCTTTTAGTGTGCAAGACCTAAAGGTAATTGCTTTTACCTACTGCCCTACATAGTTTAATGTTGTTTATTTTTGGTAATTTAAGTTTTATGGTGCATTTGTTTTAGAGTTGTTTATTTACTACTGAACTGTACCAGTTGCATACACCTGAACCACAGTAATGTTAGCTTGTTCTAAAGCTATCTCTGACATACACAACTGAAAATAAAAACAACCTAAGACTTACTTTTTCCTATATTTTTGGACTTCTAAAATAAAAAAGGTGTAGAACTGGAAAATACTGGAATAAAAAAGAGGAAATACATCATACTGAGTATCAAGGGAACCTTTCTGACACATGTTGAAGTTACTGTGATTTGAGTTTGATAATCATAGCATTGAATATTTTCTTATTTTTCCTGTTCAGTCTAATTCCTGTACTGACAATCCAGGCCAAACAAAATTTGTCTCTGGGTGCTCTACTTGACTTGAGAAATTAGTGTCCTGCCTCCGTGCACTGAATAGTCATTGTGGCCTGTTTTTTTCTTCTGCTTTTGTTTATGCAAGATGTATTCTCTCACACGTAATGAAAGAGGATAGTTGATATTCCCTGTCCATCCGCTCTCATTGTCACTCCAGCATTCTAGCACTGGGGATCATCAGATTCTTACAGGGCAGCTGCAAAAAATTCCATTGTGAGTAAGACTTGCTTCTTCATAAGCCTTGGTAATCAATGAAGAGCTTATGCCCTGAATTTTTCAGGTCTAGCAAGTATTTTCAAAGAAAAGTAAATATTTTTTCTAAACATAAACATGTTGTCCTAACATTTATGTAGTAATTTTTGCTGACTAAAAAACAACAATTGTGTATTAAAAAAAATAGGCTACACAAAGAGCAGTAGATTAAATAATTTTAATCAGATTTTTTTACTCTGAAGATGGTTCCACTGATGGTTGTGTACAGATAGACTCAACTCATTCCAAGAACATAACTACAGTTCAGGAGAAACATAGCTAGTGTTTAACAATTTCTACTGCCATTACAGCTTAAAATAGTACAATTTCAAGGTAGTTTTAAGCACTGGAAAGACCAGTGGTGGAGGTTGACTTGTAAAACCCAAAGCAACTAAAAACTCTACATGTGGAAAAATGACCATAGGACAATGAACTCCCCTAATTTGATTTTTTTTTTTTGGTGTGAAACAGGATCGTGTATCAGTCCATGACTGCAGCTTGCAAACCTCTGATTTCATTCAGCTTGAATAGACCAGAATATAATTGTACTGCTTTATTTGTGTGTTGATACTTTGAAAGCATGCAGCCTGTTCTCTATTATCTGTGACTCAGGGTACTCAGTAATGCCAGCTATGTGTAAGAGAAGGGAGTGTGATCAAGGAATCATTTTTAATGTCTCCACAAGACCTAGCCTGGCACCAGCTGTGAATTAATTCCTGTAGTTTACTGCTGGCCTCACCAGACCCAAGGTGGCTTCTGCAGAGCCACTCAGCAGTCAGTTCTGTATTCTCCACAATAAGACTGTATCAAGTCTGATGCATGCCTAGGCTGGGCCATGTACACTTACGCTACTTCAGAGATCATGAACTGGTCTGAATGTGGTTCCTCGAAGAGCAGAGCTTATCCATCTATGTACTAGATCTGTGCACAACAGTTGATGTAATATCCCCACTTCAGGCCATTTCACATAGATTGTCCCAGATGCATTACTTTTTATATCCTTGGATGGAATGTGAAGAAACATTTTGGGACAGGCTCCATCAGACAGGTCAGTCTAGGATTCCTCAGCTTGGCTCCCTGCATATGCTAGTGGATGCCTACATGGACTACAGGTGAGAGATTTGAGATTACGTTGCAAAGACACATTAAGTTTTAGTGCAGGATTTTGCCAAGGGCAACCTTTTGTCTATAGGACATACCACTCCCTTTGAGCTTGGATAGCTTGTTGGTCCTTAACAAGTGCTGTTGCAATCCAGGGCTCACGTTGACTGAGGGATGCTGTTCCACCTCTGTTAAGAGAGCCAGGCAGAAGTGAAAACTTCACCAAGGCAATGGTGATTTTGGAATCTCTTGACCTTTCAGCATAGAGCCTAGCCTGTTGTATTACAAACGCTCTCCTGCTTACAAACCATAGGGCGCGTTCATCACCCATGCCCCAGCTCCTTCTGCTTTAGAGCTCCTGATGCAACAAAACATTCATCCTCCTTTCCCTTGGAAGAAGACCTCATGCCCTGAACTTCGCTGTTTGCGAAAGCAGAACGTTCTGCACCGAGGCAGGAGTTTGCTTTGCCCAGCGGCCCAGAGGGAGGGAGCTGCACCTCTCTGTTCCTTTGCCTCCATGGGTGTCAAAGCTGTGTACTGCAAGTTCCACGACTCATTCACCCTCCTGCAACCGTAGTTCTGATGATTGGTGCTACCTGCAAGCAGACGCAAAATGAAATGATGTTTTAATCCAGACCTAGACCCCTTTTAAGAGAAACACTTTTATGACTTAGGGCAAGTTTAGGCAAACTCACAGGAAAGGTGACAAGGCTGTGACCTTTACAGAAAGCGCTGGTACATTGATAACTCTTCACGGAGATGTTTTTTAGAAGTCAGGTGTTGCAGGCAGCTTGGGCTATGTAGACGGCTGTTTAAAAGCTCCTGCTGCAATAACAAGACTACAGCAGTATAGCTTTGTAAGGTGCCCGCCGCTCCTCCCACTCGCTGCCAAAATACCGGCGGGGAATTGGTAATCATCCCAAAAACCTGTTGTTTCTCTCGGCGCCGCTACCTGATGAACAGTGTCACCGCGGCGGGAGCCCCTCTGAGGAAAAA